TATATATATATATATATATATATATATATATATATACACACACATACATGCATATATATTATAGTTCTAAGAAATATTATATGAACCACTATTTTTGAACCGCTATATCACCGCTACAAGCCTACAACTGCTATCTCGAATATCGGTCTTGACCGCAATTTTGTATTTTCACCGCTATAACAATATATATTAAATTGCATTTTTGCTCCTTGTGGTTTTAGTGACTAAGAAAATATTTAAAATGATTAAAATACCCCTCATTAAATTGGACTTAACAGAAAAAGTTAATGGTTGTTGGAAGGCGGGACAAAATCCGTTTGGAATCGACAAACTTGTGAGGCAAATCTGTTAAAACAAAGTAGAAGGATGAAAAACATTGAAAGTGACAAACATTAAGGACCAAAAGTAAACTTTGCTCTAAAACAATATAATATGATAATTTTACCTTGAGAACTTGGTAGATGGCATGGCAGTAACTCACCAACCCATGTTTTCTAAAATTTAAATCCAAATCACAAAACCATAATTCAAGAAGTCAACACCAAACAAAATTAAACATTCATACCAAAAAGTTGTTTCAAGAAATCATGGATCTCATTGCAATTAAATTTTTAAGTATAACATTGAAAAACTAAAACATACACACATGATCTCTGCCACTGCAAACCCATGATCATAAGTCAAAACGTTTCGAGACCATTCATCCAAATTGGGATGAGATGGGACCTTTATGACTTAAAAGAGAAACTTCTTTATTACTCGCTTAGTAGCACTCGTGGAAAACAAACCAAAGAGATCAGGAGTCTTTTCCAACGACAATAATCTCTCATGCAAGACTGTAAGTGACAAAAAATAGACGGAATAACTAACAAATTAGATTTGTATTAACCATGACAACTTTCCGATACAGGTCAAAATGAGTGATTTAAACAAAAAGTTGATATCCGACAACTTCGACCGCTCACACAAAACCCACTTCTTGGTTACCACATGTGAAAAGGCATTTTAAAACAGACTAACGATTGTTATGTATTTGAACAAAATCGTTCCTATTTGTATTTTGTATAAATATTTGTGACACGTGAATGAGAAGGGACAAGAGAAATTTATATGATTGAATTTAATATCAAAGCCTGAGGCTCTCCTCTCCCTCTATGTTTGATTTGGTTACTATTTGTGAAAGGTGAATAACGAGAAGTTTATACCATTCAATTGTTCCCCTCTTTACCAGCATGAGATGATTTAGTTGGACTGGATTGACACACTTTTTTGTAATTTTTTTTTTATTTTTATAAATAACAATATAGAGCTGGTTTATTCATACAACTCAATCAATTGAAATAATTATGGAAATAATAGGAGTTCATTAATTATGATAAACATTTATCTTAAGAAAGAATTAAAATATTTAACAATTACAAAGTACCTTAACCGGGCCTTGGGTTTTCGGTCGGGACCGGTTACGGGAATAGTGTTTGGGACCGATTTTCTAAATTGGGTTGTATGAATGACACATGACACAGGTTATTTAAAACACTAAAAATATATATCTTATAATAAATAAGTGTACTAAAGAAATAATAATCTAATTTGTGTGAATGAAGGTATATATATAAAACGATACAACATAACCAAAATGGGCAAACTTTTAATTAAATTTGACGAAATCAACACACCGAACAGAAATTACTTTCTTCTTTGCACATCACCTGAATATATTTCCCAACATACAAGAATATAAGCACACCTGGTTTACGAGAAACATAACAAAGCCAACGAACCGATATTATTCAACAAAACAACCCCTCTCGCCATTAATATCAGTACTCCTCGTCTTCGCCTTCATCCTCCACTCCTTCGGCACCAACTTCTTCGTAATCTTTCTCGAGAGCCGCAAGGTCTTCACGGGCTTCCGAGAACTCACCTTCCTCCATGCCTTCACCCACGTACCAATGAACGAATGCCCTCTTTGCATACATCAGATCAAACTTATGGTCGATCCTTGAAAACACCTCAGCAACTGCTGTATTGTTGCTGATCATGCAAACCGCTCGTTGCACCTTCGCAAGATCTCCCCCTGGTACCACTGTTGGTGGCTGATAATTGATCCCACATTTGAAACCAGTCGGGCACCTGTTATCCAACAAACATAATAAGAATTATCAAAAATCCCAAATTACCCGAAACAAAATTCATGTCCACCAAACAAACCACCTTTCTTGCAAAAGGGGATACTACACTTTGCATGGGAAGATCGTTTTTGGACAAAACCAAACCAAACCAAACAAGCCCATAATATACCACGCACAGGTGGGGGTGGGGGTCGGGGTGGGGGGATGTACTTAGAGCTGACCTCTACCCTAAAGATTTTGGGATTAACCACAAGAGTTGTGGCATAGTGGTTGAGGCCCAGGGGATGTGTGGAATATCCCATCTGCCCTGGGCTGATTTCTTGCAGTCACAATTTGCCGGGATTAACTTTGGCATAGCCTGGGACACCCTTCCAAAAATAGATTTTAGGATTCTAGTAATCTAACTACCGACTCATTAACCCTATCCCCTAGCCTTTACCTCTCCAACTTCCTTCATCCCGTCTAGATCCTAACCCCAGTGTGCTTAACCTGGTCTTGCGTCTCCAAGTGCTCCTATTTGAGGTCATTTTCTTTTTGCATTTAAGTATGTACAGTTTGTCCAAAACCACTCATTCTTACAAACTATAGGTTTGTTGGATTTACTTAGAAACAATTACTGGTTTGCAACATAAACTTAATTATCTAGATGCTATCATGGTGGCTTACCAATCAACAAATTGCACGGTGCGCTTAGTCTTGATTGTGGCAACAGCAGCATTGACATCTTTAGGGACAACATCTCCACGATACATCAAGCAACAGGCCATATACTTTCCATGCCTAGGATCACATTTAGCCATCATGCTTGCAGGCTCGAACACTGCATTTGTGATTTCAGGTACCGAGAGCTGCTCATGGTATGCTTTCTCGACTGATATTACAGGTGCATACGAAGAAAGCATGAAATGGATACGAGGGTATGGCACAAGGTTTGTTTGGAACTCTGTAATATCAACATTAATGGCTCCATCGAAACGGAGGGAAGTCGTCAAAGATGATATGATCTGAGAAATCAGTCGGTTCAAGTTGGTATATGTAGGCCTCTCGATGTCTAATGATCTCCGGCAGATATCATAAATTGCTTCATTATCCAAGAGCACTGCCACATCCGTATGTTCAAGTAGAGCATGAGTAGAAAGAACACTGTTGTATGGTTCCACAACTGCTGTTGAGACCTACAAAGAATTCACAGCAGTTTTTAATATAATCACATGAGGGATTTATTAAGATTCATAATATTAAACAAAGGCTTCACAGTTCAACAATTTGTTTATATCCATGGTTGTTGTTAAGCTTCTAAACATGTTTCGTAAATTTCTATAGTACATTTCATCAGAGAAGACCATCCCCTGATATGATAAGAAAACCAGACAGAATATGTATACCAAAAAGAATACCATCTTAATTGTCGTGAACATTTTATGTAAAATGTTGGTTAACGAGATGTAAACCAGTTTACAGTTCAAATCAGGTTCCATATCAACCAGTGATCTTGAAATAACAAATGATTGCTTTTCTACAGAATGTAGCATTTATCTTGTTCAATTTTTCTTTTTCTTTGTGATTACGAAAGATCAAGCAAGAGTACAAGAACACTCAAACTTGATATGCACCTGACGAAAATATGACCACAATAGAGAAACGCTCAAGAGAAAAGCTATAACTGATTATGTAGTGAAACCATGCATAATCAGTAACTTGTCTCATATGACCATCACACACATTTAGATCAAAATGCAGTTATAAGTACCTGAGGAGAAGGATAGATGGTGAACCCGAGCTTTGACTTCTTTCCATAGTCAACAGACAAGCGTTCCAACAACAAGGACCCAAGGCCAGAACCGGTACCTCCACCAACAGCATTGAACGCCAAAAACCCTTGCAAGCCAGTGCAGTTATCTGCTAACTTCCTTACTCGATCAAGGCATAGATCAACAATCTCCTTCCCCACTGAAAGACAGTCAAGCCGATTAAGCCACTTCCAAATAAAAGATGTTCTTTGTGTGGGTTTCTTTCTTTTTTCACCTCCGAAAAGAACGTTTTTTATCGTGTTTCCATATAGCTGGATAAACATAGCAGATAACTAGGACAAATACCTGTGTAATGGCCCCTGGCAAAGTTATTAGCAGCATCTTCCTTTCCAGAAATAAGCTGCTCAGGGTGGAAGAGTTGACGATAAGTCCCTGTCCTGACTTCATCAATGACAGTTGGTTCAAGATCAACAAATATCGCTCTTGGCACATGCTTTCCGGCACCAGTTTCGCTAAAGAACGTATTGAATGCATCATCTGCAACACCTGGCGTGGTGTCACTGCAAGAAAAAAGGATCAAGACTTCATTAGCAACAGATCTTGAAAAAGATCAAGACTTCATTAGCAACAGATCTTGAAAAATATCAAGACTTCATTAGCCACAGATCTCGAAAATGCTACTCAAAACAAAAACGAAAGTTTCGCATAAATTTGATCCTTAATAATCAAATCCATCCCCAATTCATAGCTCAGACTGCTGAATAATGAAAAGATTTCAAGAGATTTGGTGTCTTCATTCTTAGGTTTATAGCATAATTGTTAACATCCACTCTAATACACCTCACATTGAATGTAAATCTTACCATTTCAGTTTTGTAGATAGAATTAGGGCACTTCAGATCACAAAGATGGGTACAGTAAACAAGAAAACCTCCACGAAATAGACAGAAGGCGCTAAAGAACTACATAACAAAAAATTTATTCACAGAAAGTAAATCAAGGATTGAACTGTCACAATTCTCGCAATCAGTGAGGCAAGAATACAGATCGTGTTACTGCATTACAACCAAAGAAGTCCACAAGAAAGTCAACCACAATTCAAACACAGATCCAAAACTGATCCACTTACCTGTCAATTCATATCTCTCCATAAACACAAACACACGCAAATCCTAGGTCATGATTCATTGCTGATGAGGTTTCACATTAAGCTCGAGAACCCTAGTTTCAATCACTTCAAACGCCTCTAATCGGATAATTCCGTTTCTAATAGCAGAAAACCCTAAAAATATGCCCTAACGAACCCATTACCATGAACTCAGATCCATGAAGTTATACGCAAATCAAAACTGAAATCATCAAACCAAAACAGAGTTTGGATGACGGCATTGCTGAAACTAGGAAAAGAAGACACACACAAACCAAAAAAAAAAAAGACAAACAGAAAGAAACCAGAAAACGGATTTGATAGAAACACTAAATAAAGCTGTAGATGCATTAAATGAGTCTACAAAGACAGCAAATTCGTCCTAAACCTAAAGTACATGGATTCAAACTCACAGACATAGTTAAAATGAATGAAGGGGAACATAAGAACAAACCTAGGCATCATGCCATCGGGCTGAATGCCATGTTCAAGGCAGTAAAGCTCCCAACATGAATTTCCCACTTGAATCCCAGCTTGACCTATGTGTATGCTTATGATCTCCCTCATCTCTGTGTGTGAATGAGTTGGAAGAACCTGTCTCTGCTCTCTGCTCTCTGCTCTCCGATCTCCGATCTGTCACTCTCTCTCTCTCTCTCTCTCTCTCTAGAAATCTTGCCGACGGAAGAAGACTGTTAAAGAAGGAAATATAGTCGATAAGATTCGATGGCAAGTGTGGCTCCACCCACTCCCGCCAGCCTTTCATCCGTCCCCAGCCGGCCCACCCTAATTTACCATTTCAACCCTCCTTCAAATCAAAATTACAAATTCAGTCCCTTTACATTATTTTCGTTTGCTTATCATTCAATTATGAAACAGACTACGACGTTCTACCTTTTCTATATCATTGTGTCGCCTGTTACTCTCCCATTCATCATGTATTTGTCTGGTTGATGAAAATTAATATTATCATAGAAAACTAAGTATAATAAAAGTAATTAAAAAATCTATTATTCGTCTAATAAATGTGAGAACGACGAGAACACTGTCATAATCTATGACATATGTAGCATTAAGAACAGAATTATCCACATATAAGGGTATAAATGTCATTCACAGTCATATTGGGTATGCATAAATCACTTGCATAAGCATATATAATATGATTTACTATATGTTAACCGAATTTAACTATTTGTTATGAATTAATATGTATATATATTATATAGATTGACCCATTGGGCCTAGATAAATGTTTGGCCCAATGTAATGACCCAATAGATATAATGTATTGGGTAGTGGGCCAAATCAGCCCAGGACCGTCGGAGGACTCGGACCGGCAAAGGACCGGCCCAGGACCGGGACCGGTTGGGGTTTTTGGAAGTTTCGTGGGACCGGGACAGGCTATGGACCGGCCCGGCCCGAAAATTCAAATAATTTTATAAATAAATGTATTTTTAAATAATTTTATAATGTATTTTTATAAGACAATGTAATTTTAATTATATTAAAACGCATTTTGAAGTGTATTTGAGTGACCCAATTGTAAATTTATAATGTATTAAAAATATATATCATTAAAAAGAATCTTATTTTTAAAGTCGAGACCAGTTGGGACCGGGACCGACTGCCCATAACCGGTTATGAAGTACCTTGACCGGTCCTACCATTATCGACCAGGACGGGTTATGGCCGGTTATGAGAAAGCTTGGGACCAATTGGGACCGGCCCGGCCCGAGACCGATTTTTGGCCATCACTAGTATTGAGTATTGATATTGACTAACAAACCAATATATCTTAAAGTACTCTCATTAAGTTGCCGTTTACCTAAATGCTTACCCGGTAAGTGCTTACCGATAGAATCCAACATTATAATTTATTTTGATACATAAGATTTTAGTGTATCAAAACATATTGAATGCAACAAGTTACTGGGTAAGTGTTTACATGGGTAAGAGTCGTCATCCTTACTTACCGGGTAAGACTCTCTATCATTTTCATTGCTTTAACCCGGTAAAATTCTTGGTCGTTCTCATGTTCATCCGATAAGAAAATTTACCCGGTAAGATTCTTGGCCGTTCTCATGTTCATCCGATACGGTAAGATTCTTGGCCGTTCTCATGTTCATCCGATAAAAAAATTTACCCGGTAAACACTTTTTGAATTAGAAAGACGTAGATAACCAATTCTTAAAATTCGATGGTTTATTTATTCAAAAAAAAATATACATAAACTTGATCATTCAAAATAAAAAAATTCAATAATTTATTTATTAAAAATAATATTCATACTCTTAATTATTCAAAATATAAGATTTTCCTGATAAATTACATTCATTTTTACAGGGGCATATACTCAAGGGTATTTCCGCCAACAAAAGTAGTGGCAATTTCGCAAATCTACTGAACCCAAGGGTTAAAATTGGAATAAAAGGAAGCAAATCAAGAAATGAAGCCGTGGAAGAGTTTCTGCGACTTCGAAAAATATTACTACTATCATCGTTTAAATATTGCTTGCCTTTCTCTTCCTCTGAAACCCACTTGCAATTGTTCCTCTTTCTTCTCCTTCTCAGTTTTCTTTTACCGGAATTGTCTCAAAATGGCAGAGGAGAAACCGAAGCTCGTCGCCGGCGTATGGCCCACCGTTAAGCCCTTTGTCAATGGCGGAGCCTCTGGTATGCTTGCTACTTGTGTCATCCAACCCATCGATATGATCAAGGTATTTGTTTATATTCGGATCAACTGTTTGATTTATTTTGTTTTCTGATCGTAAAGGACTGTTTTCTTTAGCTCTTTAGTGGCACTGGTTTTAGGGTTTTTAGACCACCTTTTAGCTCGTTTTTCTTGGAAGGTTGTTTTCTATCATAGTTGTAAAGAACTTCAGTTTTTGAGCTATTTCGTGACAGAATTTTGTTGGATTTTAGCTCGAATGTTAGATTCTTCTTTATTGAAACGTGGGTTTGTTCGAAATTTTGGTTCTTGAAGGAAATTGTCGATTTTAGTATTCCGAACAACCGAGTCTTTTAAGACGATTTGCTTAAATTGATTTTGCATTTTACATTGCATGGTTTTCGGTTGAATTCAATTTTTGCTTCATTTGGTATAACGAGACATTTTGGTGGTTTTTTTCTTAAAATTTTGACTTAAAAACAGTTCCTTGAAATACTTTGAATCTACCTGCATATCAATTTTGAGGTGACTTAATTGAACTGCTTTTCATCTTATCGTCGGATCAAATCTGTTTTAAGTTGCAGATTTCCATAAAGCTGCAGCTCATTTGTTCATAATTCTTGAGTTGCTTGTAGGAAGTTCTAACAAGTGTTTATTTTTACCTGCACTGAAATTTGCTTTTATCTTATATATCTATGTATGTGTGTGTGTGTGTGATAGATTATGCTAACTTATTAGGTTCATGGTTCATTTATAGGTGAGAATCCAACTGGGTCAAGGATCTGCCTTTGCAGTGACAAAGACTATGCTAAAGAACGAGGGTGTTGGCGCCTTTTACAAGGTTTGTTCCATTCATTGATATTTGTTCCTTATTAGTGTAAATATGGTCGATGGCAAGATACAACCTGCAATTTGATGCAGTCATGACTTATTACCGAAAAGGGCCTTTGGCCTAGCGGTATCTCGGCCTTTGGTACAACGGTATACGGGCCTTTGGCCTGTCAGGAGGTCAGGGGTTCAAACCTCACTAAAGGTGAGGAGGGTGTGTTAGTTAGTTGTTGCATTTGCCATATATAAATATATAGATGCCAATATCTGATGTAGTTATGCATGCATGTGCTTTCTCTATTTTTGTTTTTATTTTTATTTTTATTTTGTGGAATATGCTAGTTTGTTCGTACTCTGTTATGTTGGAAAATATGTTGTATGATATGCTTGTATCCATGTCGAATTATAATGTGGACTTGTTTATCTATTTAGTCCACCTCATGGAGGCCTTGTGCTCAATTACAAGTACATGGGGATTAGTTGATGTCAACACACACCAAACAGGCCGTGCTATAAAAAGCACAAACATATGATTTAAATGCACGGGATTGTCATATGTTAAAATGGACTCATCACATGTCGTGCCAATATTCTATTTTCTTGTATAATTTCTTTTTCTTGTAAAATGACTTTGTTTCGATCTTTGGACATCTTATTAAGTGGATTTTCTGGTGTTTCTACTTATGATGCATTTGGTGATGTCCAACTAAGTTGTTCTTTGGAGCAGGGTTTATCTGCTGGTTTGCTTAGGCAAGCTACATATACGACTGCGAGACTTGGTACATTCAGGTGAGTGTTAGTCCTTGAACGTTTGGAGAATATATGGCGATGTATGTATGGCATCCACTTCTTTGTAGCTTTTGGGTACGTGATGTAAGATTCCCTCACTATTACTTACTCATTTCTATTGAACAACTACTTGGAGTGTTTTGACATGCGTTATGCTTCATCTTCACCAACTACCATATATACCATGTATTCATTCTCTCATACAAGGAGGCTATTTTTTAATATACATTTTCCTCGTCTGATTTGGTCGATTTTGATGAATTTTGTTTAGCTTATGTTACATTAATGGATACAAGGTTAGGATTACAACCTCTACTTAAGAACAAAGTTGTTATTAACATTAATTATTCTGATTCTTTCATTCTTTATCAAGGAAACAACCGCTCTACACTTTGGAGTAGAGGTCAGGTCTGTGTACATCTTACCTCTCCCGAGACCCACCTCCAAGTGCGATATATTGGGATCATCTCATTTGGTTCCCCTCGCAGATAATTAATCCTTGTTAGGGTTCTTAGGTAATATTCTCACAAAGTTTAGATGGGTTGTTGTGTACGGAAGACCAAGTTTTATGTCTTTAGTTGGATATAGTGGATGCTTAATAGGTCCTACGTTGCATAATTTAGGTGAATCATCAATCATTTGGCTGTCTATGTGAGGATTAATCTTTGTATATGCACTTGCACTTTGAGTGTGACCCTGTTCTTATGGTTTTGCCTTTACATGATTATGCGTGAGGAAACTTAAACTAAAAACAACCCATCCCATTGTGACCTTAGCCTTTTGAAATTACTAAAGGTTTGAACGATGCCTTTTTGACTGGGTGTCAATGACCTATGAGGAACGTGCCAACCGCAGAAACCATTGGTTTGCTTCTTGCATATTGAAGCTCAGGCTCATAGGCCTCAATTTGCAATACTTCCTAACCTCTACAGCTAAAGATGGTAATTGGAACTTGGAATTGCTTGTTCTATCATCTATGGCAAAATAACTGGTTGTCGCATAAAAAGCATGGTGTTTTAGCTCTGCCTGCAAGTGGCAAGTCGTTCTACAAACCAATTTATATGGTGAAATGGTCGGTCGGTAACCATGCATCCTTTAGTCTTGATGATCCATCCTTCTTGTCCAACCTAACCACCTTCTCGATAATTCGTAAGTAAATTACACAAGGACTTTGGTACTGCATTAAAGTCTTCGATGAAGCAACGATAGAAGTTGACATGACCTAGAAAATAGTGCACTTTAGTGATAGAAAAGGGGGGGTCTTGGTTATGTATGCTACAACAAATGGGTTTCATGGATTATTAAGAGTCTCTTTAACCATTTTCTTAGTTGCTTTTACTTTATGCAGTTAGTTAACATATGCTTATACACACATACATACACAATATACGTTTATGTGTGTAGTATGTAGTATGTAGTATGTAGTATGTAGTATGTAGATATAAATACAATATATGTGTGTGAATTGCTATTAAGCTGAGATTCTTCACTGAAACAACCTCTCTAATCTTGGGGGTAGAGGCAAGATATGTGTACATCTTACCCCCACACCCTCCCTCTGTGTGACATATATTGGGCTCGCTTGGTTTGTTCCTACTGGACATACGCATGGAATACAAGGGTGGACCCACTATGGTGCATACGGTGGCAGGGGCCACTGCTTCGTTCCTCTATTGTAATATAAAAATATTTAGAGTCGTAAAAGGTGCCACTGTATTATTTTGTTGGGTGCAACCATTTATTCTTTGAAACTACGAAAACAATTTTTTCTTAGTAGAGTTGGTTCGCATGGTCTTTTTCCCCTTCCAGGCACGGGTCCAAATCCCATTTTGTATCATTTTCTTAGTTTTTATCTTTTAATTTGAGGTTTATTATGTTTTTTTAAAAAGAATTGGGAACCAATGATGATTTTGTGAAAAATATATATAGCTTCATTTCTTATAGTCAAATGGTGCCACCAGTTGAAAAAAAAGTTAGGTCTGCCTCTAATGGAATATGTATATGTATATGTATATGTATATGTATATGTATATGTATATGTATATGTATATGTATACGTATATGTATGCTTGCAATATACCCAACATATGTATGTATAGATATATACAATGCATATGCATGTATATATTTTTATGACATTTAATCACTCTATAGGATTTTGACAAACAAGGCACTTGAAGCCAATGACGGAAAGCCCATTCCTTTATATCAAAAAGCTTTGTGTGGGCTAACAGCCGGAGCCATTGGAGCATGTGTGGGAAGTCCAGCCGATTTAGCACTGATTCGTATGCAGGCTGATGCCACCGTGCCTGCTGCCCAACGCCGTAATTACACAAATGCATTTCATGCCTTGTTCAGGATTACAGCAGACGAAGGCGTCTTGGCTCTCTGGAAAGGTGCCGGTCCAACTGTCGTAAGAGCAATGGCACTAAACATGGGAATGCTTGCCTCTTATGACCAAAGTGTCGAGTTCTTCAAGGATAATATTGGTTTGGGCGAAACTTCTACAGTCATAGGTAAAGTTATTTAAACTACCGAATACTTCCATATTTGAAGTTAAGTTTTCTCATATAAACGTTTGATTATATTTTCATTCTAAAGGATCGGAAACCACTTCACTAACTAGAATTGTATGTTTTGTTTCCATTGGCAGGTGCGAGTACAGTATCAGGGTTCTTCGCTGCAGCCTGCAGTTTGCCTTTCGATTACGTGAAAACCCAAATACAGAAGATGCAGCCAGATGCAGAGGGGAAATACCCTTATACCGGATCGTTAGATTGTGTGATGAAAACCCTAAAGTCGGGTGGACCCTTTAAATTTTACACGGGGTTTCCAGTATATTCTGTCAGGATTGCCCCTCACGTCATGGTACGCCCCCTCTTCTCTTTCTGCTTAAGATTTTGCCTAAAACTAACCCTGAATGGACATGATAACCCGCGGCTGGCTTTTGAGCCGAAGTCATGAATCTTTAAAACCTCCAAATATTGTGAATACTGATTTTGGAACTCGAAAGAGTAGCGTTGTTCTTAACGGTGAACTTGTTGGTTACGCAGATGACATGGATCTTCCTGAACCAAATTCAAAAACTGGAGAAGGCAGCTGGGCTGTAGGTTTTACTCGAACTAATATCGTGTGTTGTACTTGTGGGATTCGTTTATTGGTGATCGAGTCGGAGATTTCTTCCGAATTACTAGAGAATTAATGTTTTTGGCTGTAAAAAATAAGAATGTTTGAGGTAGAATTGGTTCAGATGATTGCTGAGATCTTGGTCTTGGGTTAAGTTTGAGCAAAAATAAGATGGATGTGTACCCTCTTCCCCCCTCTGCTCTTGTGCACTTAAACACTGGTTTAGTTTTACAGACATGATTTGCTTTTTGTTTAAAAAAGGGTGGCACCTTTGGTCAATTTATAAGATTATAGCGCTGAATGCAGGCGGGTCATTTACGCAAGGCTCTAAATGACGTGAGACGTGACGTGGCGGGTCATTTATAAGATTATATGTTTGAGAATATTATTTAAAAAACTCATGTCTTACAAAATAACGCCCTATGACGTGTTACAACAAAAGTCAAACCTTAGAATGGAGCCATGGGGTTAATGTGGCAGTAAAGCGAAGCCTCAGTGTCATAACGAGTTAATTAGAACCATGTATTTAGGTATAATTTTTAATGAGATTTTAATTAAATTCAAATCTCTTTAAAGCAAGAAAAACCACATTAATCAAAAGGTAATGTATTTAATTAGGTCATATTTAAGGTTATATACCTAAATACAACCATATGATTTGTACCATAAATTGGGTTATGAGTTTGGTTTTACAAAAGCCAAAATGCAATAAAGTGCTTAGAGCATCTCGAATAAATTCTCTAAGATGAATGATCAAAAGTCAAAACCTCCAATTAGGTTCGTCTCCAAGAGCTTCTCTATTTTGGAGATTACAATGTTATTTATATTATTAACAATTAATAAAATATTATTTCTCTTTTTCTTCTGAATATTTAATTAAAGGATTCTAAAAATCATTTATCTTTCTTAAATTATCATTTTTTCAGATTTCTCTAAATTTGGAGATCATCTCTCTCATACGTTCTCCATTTTAGAGAATGTTAGAGCATCTTCAACAGTTATGTTAAAGTTTTTCTAAAATAGAATATCAAAAGTTACATCTAACTTTTGATGATTCTACCGTTAACTATATTATTAAAATATTTAGTACATTTTGATAAAATATTCTCTCTTCTAAACACTTAATTTCAATGTCTCATATTGGTAAGAAAGAATAAAATATTATTTATCCCTCTTAAATATAGCGTTTTAAAAATTCTATAAATTAAGAGATTTTTATCATCTCTATCATTTTTTTTCTATTTTAACGTACAAGATAACATAGCTGTTGAAGCAAAAAGGTTGCTAAAATTTCATTTTCCTCTATTTTAACATAGATGTCAAAAATGCTCTTATAGAGAGAGAGCGCACCTCTTGGAACAAAAAGAACTCCAAAATCTCCATTTTAAAGAATCATTTTGAAGATTACTTCAATTTAAAACTATTAGTTTTTTTTTTCTCCATTAGTGTAAAATCACATCATAATGAGTTAACTCATGTCACTTAAGCTGGAATCCATTTCTATGTCAAAATGGATACAAAATACGAAGAATTGAGCAATTAGGATGATAGCTTAGGTTCTTCTTTTATTCATGTAACCTTGTGGGTTAGCACAAGCGGCAATAAAGTTTGAGTCTTTGGGGATCCTCCTCAAATGTCATCGGTTTGAGTCCTGCAAAGTCACTAAAGATTTTTCTGGCCATTCTTTAAAGCCCTTAGAATTAATCAAGGTGCGCACAACCTAACCTAAACATCCATGTTTCACAAAATAAAAAGTTGTATGACTGAAATAACACAACAACATCCACCAAATTGCCTCACTCAACATACTTATTCACACCATATGATGGAATGGGATCATGAATAACAACTTCCACTACAAAAATACATTCAACCTTACTAATCAAATCCAAATGGCACTTCAATATTTCATTTCATACCTTTCAAAGATGTATCCTGAAAAATTGTGGTTTTGCAGCAACGCCAATCGAGGATCTATCAAGAACACGCTTAAGCCCTGTTACGAAACAATGGAAAATGTTATTACCACTTGCTTCATATGCATAACGATGGAGAAAACTAGACGCGGTTGTTAAATCTGGAGAAATCATAAGCAAAGAGCATCCAAGATTAAATTTTTACATCTTTCAAGTGCATACAGACCTACGAATCAAATACTGTCGTCGTATGACGACTGTTTTAAGGACAAATACAAATGTTAAATGTTGGATATAAAGCGTAGTTAAGATAGTTAGAATGATGATTTCAAGTTATTTGCATGTATCACTAAATAAACGAACTATATGCTTAAAATCCTATGGGATCAACTGTAAATGTAGGAAAATTGCTAACTACGCAAATATTTTGTGTTTTGATTTTTCCGTTCCCTGAAACTGCTATTTTTTGTGTGTGTGATCATTGATCGTGACAGCAACTACCATAAACGGAGATATTTACAGACAAAGATTACTTTCATAATAAAGGGGCAACTACAGCGAAGATAAGATAGGAGAAAAGATAGTGAGGAACGAAAGAGAAAAGACTTGTACATCCAATAAAGCACTTAATTTTTATATAGACTATAAGTCGTATGTCGCCATTTAATAATCACTTCTCTACAAGTTATTCTACTGTGTATAACATATGATCTCACTAATTTCGAATATAAATAGATTCTTTATTTTATTTTTATCTTTATTTTATTTAAGTATTAATTTAATCTTTTCTAACTTTCCTAGATTAACATACTTTGTTCAAAATTAAGTTATTCTTATCCGTTGTAAATCTTTCAGATTCTAATCCAAGGTACAAATCACAATAATACTTCTATGTCAATTCTCACAACCATAGGTTTTTAGTCTTTTGACAATGCTGCAAAACATTCTCTGCAAATACCTCTCTATGCCAATAAAGAATCGTAACCGAACAAAGAGAAAGGAAAAAAAAAAAAAAAGACAATTGCCCAATTAAAGCTGTATGCTTAATTATTTTCTGAATTTAACAAAGTAACTTGTGAAATACAAAATAATGCAACGGGTAGAGTGGTATCAATTCTGCAAACTGTAGTTAGAGAAACACACCTGCTTATGTATGAGTTGTCAGTGGTATCAATAAGTAACTTATCACCCGTTATAACATGAGGTGGCACCTAGAAGAACAATTCATAAAATTAGAAATCAAAACTTGCTCGGCAGAAAGGCACATAACGCATTTCCAGTATTTATAAACCTACCTGTACGGTGATGCCGTTGTCCAGTAATACCTTTTTGGTACTGTTGCAATGAGCAAGATGAAAAAAGAAAAATTAAGGATCACCAGATTAAGAGCGATCTACTCGTTCTGTTGTATCAAATCTTTTTTAGCTATTAATTAAGTTCTGTTAAGAGGATTAATATAGATGGAATTATGCTACATCTTGTCCATTCGGAATTAGTTATTGCTTGTCATTCCGTTTTATCAAATTTGAAAATAAATTATGAGTAACAGAAAGAAAATCATACTGAGGGGTAGCTCCCATCCCCTTCATAGGGACTTGTGCTTCCACCACGGTACACGTCACTCGTTTAGGTACTGATGCTGACATAGCCCTGTCATTAAAGAGTTCCACAGAGACAGTGATATCATCTGTTTAGCATGGAACATGTTTCAGTAAGACAAGATAACGGAAACAAAATCATAAGAAAAAGAATGATCAACAAAAAAATTAGAACGCTGCAAGTATTCAAATATCATCACAAGAAGATACCATGAGACTTACATGACATACCCAAAAGGAAACAGAAACAAAATCGAAGATCGGTACACGAAGCAGCAAAGATCTAAAATCCATATAATATTATCAATCTTGGAGCAGAAAATGCAGAAAGGAACTCTTGGTCTGCAAGCAAATATACCCTAGCTTATGGCTAGGGTACAAATGTGGGGACTTCAGAACCTCCTGCAATTTGTGAAAGGGCATATGAGAGATGCAAGTTCCAGCCATACCGAACCTTGCATCTCTAAATGCAGAATATAGACAGTTCGCACTAACGAAAGGGTGATGGAATATGGCAGAAGTTTATCCATGAGAACTGCAGGAAGTCTAATAAAGGACACTGGAAGGAAATGCACAAGAAAATTTGTTGGATCATTATGCCTTGGTGGGGGAAGGGGGAGAAAGAGGGTGGCAGAAATTTTGGCCAAGCACCATATGCTATTAGACATTAAGGTAAAAGAAATGAGACCCTTGATTGCAACCCAGGCATGCCAGCGTGTCCAAGTCCTTGTACATATCCATATACATGCAAGGTTAGGTTCCAGTTAAATGAAGTAGCGATGAGAAGGGTAAGAAGGGATCTCCACCCTTGGCTCAATCCTAATTGAAGAGAAACATTAGATCAACACTAATGATATACACTTGATCAATTCCCTTCTAAAGCGCAATTCATGGGATGGTTTGAGATTAAAAATGATCAAGGGTCGAAATCCCTTCTTACACTTCTCACCTTAGCTCCTATTCTCACACGATCCTTCGTCTATACATACATACATATATATAGCTGCTTTCCCTCGGTAAAAAAAAACAGCAATGCCTCCCTTTTTTTCACCTACTACTCTATAATTATCCTATCTTCAAAATTATCATCTTCCTTACAAACCGGCTGATTGACATGGCAAAATGTATCAAAAAAGTTGCTTGTCAAAAGAAGCACACTTTAAATGAAAACCAAAGTGTTAGTTCATCACCTTTTAAATACGCAAGAGAGTCGCCAAATAAGTGCTTCGGTACATCCAATTGCACAAAAGTGTTAGGCCTGATACAAACAAGAAGATGGACAACGTTGTTTAGTAGCTTGAGTTCTTTTTCTTGCAGTGTTTTTTAATATGATTTAAGATTAACAAGCTCCTCTAGAGCAGTTGAGGAAAATGGATGAATAAAAACTTACTCCATTAGCACAACACTGTCACTTTCTTCATCAGTGTACAGGTACGTGAAGGATTTCGCTTCAACAAATACTTCTGCATAACAGACAGGAACACACTGTAAAACATTGTTTTCCATGGTCATTTTTGAACCAGCAAGTTAATATGCATACTTTCAACTATCTCGTCTGTGCGAAACCTTTCATTCACTTTGTTTCCACTGTCAACGTCACGAAGCTCAACCTGCTCCAGTGAAAAACACGAAGAAATCAAGATGAGTGTGAATGTTGATAATCTTGGGTGGTATAATAAGAATCAACTAGGATTGTCTGAACAACAAGAAAGTTAGGATATAGGAATCGGAATATAGCATGAATAAGTTCTAGCCCACAACCCTCAAAAGCTTAGGTATCAGGCTTTCAATACCCTACAACAATAATGCGTTAAACATTAATATAGTTATAATTCGATTACGTAGTTATTCATCCTATCTGAATAAAATATTGCATCCACACGAGATATCCAGTCAAACCTACCAAGCCAAGATTATACAAGAATCATAAATCAACACATAAAAACTAAAGGAGCTTTAACCTGTATGATAGCCCCTCCTCTTCCTTGAGTCGAGTGTTGTGCTTTCACGACCTAGATCATATTCACATAGGTCGATAAGTGAGGTACAACTTTAATACACACACACACAAAAGTTACTTCAATTGCAGACCACTAGATAGATATTAGCAAAAACACTACCTGGTAAACTTTTCCTGAAGCAGATGAAATTCCCCAAACACGATAAAAGCAGTCCAGTGAGTCTATGCGCGTCTCTGTTGACGTGTGTAGAAGTAAAAATAAAACAAAAACAAACCTTTCCTTTCAATGACATTTCCTGGTCTCACCTGCACCAAATTATTAGCCCCGAGTTATAACCCAATCTTAGGAAAATAACCTATGAAAGAACTTGGCAACCAACATCCTCATTGTTCTAAAGATCCCAGATTAGGGATGCTGAAGCAGCCACCTAAGCATTACCCATCCCCCCACTGCATCGATTGATTAAGGCTGTTTAATCAATTAAACATTGAATAAAATCACTCAGGGAATAATCAATATTTCTCCAATTGCTTTTATTATCGAACTTCCTCAACTGTAAGGGTTCATTCCAATCCTTTTATAAGAAATGCACTATAAATTAGTCATTTAGAATACTAATATTATTAGAATAACATAGTATCGAAATTCTGATATATCATCAATTTACATAATCTAAAAGTGATTATAATTTATATATTTAGGAACACTTACTAGTCTTCTTAATCCCCAGATTAAGCTATAGGTCAGTCGTTATATCCTGCATAATCTATGCCCTGAAGAGTCAGAATATCTCGAATTCAATATGATATGAGCTTCGATACTCCATATGCTATAACCACATGATTTTGATTTCAAGAATGTAATACCTTCAACCCTAAATCAGTGGACTCACCAGAAAACTCGTAATTTTAGAATGAGTTGAATTTTTTTCCCAATATTTCTGCGAACAGATTACAGATTAACGTAGATACAAGATGAATTTTCCGAGTTTAATTTCATATAAGGAAGAAAAAGTTGCACGTTGCCTCGTTAAATAAGAAACTTAATCATTCGAACAGAAAATGATTTCATTTGATCAAAGCAAATCAAGTCATCTTGTTAATTTTGATCATAAACATTTCCAAAATTTTAATACACATGCGCGAGCCGGGACACCCACACAGAGAGAAATAACTCACGTCGGAGCCGCGAGCTTTGGCGAATCGGATCTGATTGGCGGACCATGGGACGGCGAGAGGTTGGCCATATGGTCGACTGCGGTCGTCGGAGTAAATCGACGAGTCCGAATGAGTTAAAGTGATGTTTTTGAGATGCGGAGAGATCATAATAGAGTACTGGCGAACTGAAGAAGTAGCGTGAAGTCTTCCAGAAATACGTCGAGCTTTAGCTGCCGCTGCGGCGGCGGCTATGGCGACGGCTCTCATTGTTGGTGACGGAAGGTTTCTCTAGTCGAATCTTTCTGGTGTGAGATCGGCGGTGTGTTTTAGCCGTGAGCTAGTCGCGTTTAACTTCTCTAACACAGCAAATTCTCAATTTTGATTTTTTTTATTAATAATCTCTCTTATAAAGCATTTAGTTAAAACTCTTAAAAACTCTTAAACCTGTTTATCTCTAAACGATTTCATCATTATCCGATTTAATCTCATATCTGAATTCGTGTAACTAACTGCAGATAAACACAATCAAATACAAGATAAACATCTCATTTTAAATATAAAAAATCTAAAATATAATTAGTATAATCATTAAATTCTAAAAGAATAATATATATATCTATACTATATTATAA